CTTCTGTTCCATGTTTTGTACAGCAGACATGTCCATATCATTCACTGGTGCTCTAGCATCTAGCTCTCGCCGAAGGCGATCGCACTCAGACAACAGGCTGTCTTTCTCTGAGCTGAGAACTGACACCATTGTTTCAGACTCGGCAACCTGCTTCTCAGTATCGGCAATTTTCCTATCAGATACATCAGCGCGATCGAGTGCCGCAGTCAGAGAGGATTCCAAGCCCTGGAGTCGCAACTCCTTTTCCTGAACTTGGTTTTGCAATACCTTGACCCTCTGTTCACTGTCTGAGAGCTTCGCGTTCGCCAAAGACGAAGTTGCAGGAGACACTTGAGCTAAGGAGTTTTGCAACTCGACGACCTGCATCGTCAGCGCGCGTTTCGCTTCCTCTGCTTCGTCTAGGGAAAGAAGCCTTTCTCTTAGAAAGTCGACGTCAGCAGTGAGTTTTTCCTCTATTATTTGCGACTTGGTCAGTCTTTCCTCGAGAGAGGCTGCCTTTTCTACTGCGGCTTCACGCTCCCTTGCCTTGGCCTCCGCAAGACTCTTGGCATCATTGCTGTCGATAAGGGCATCTTTGGTGGCTTCGAGTTGCTCTTGCAACGCCGATACCAGCAACTGAAGATCTCCTGAGGTCTGTTCGACGTTACTACGGGCAACACCACCCGTACTCACTTCACGTTCGCTTTGTAAATGATCCCTTTGTGCGTTTGACAGTTCTTGCTGGAGTTCTGCCAGCTTTTGTTCAACCTTTTCTTTGGCCTCTTCCGTTTCGTATAGCTGCCCTGACAGTCGGATACTTTGCTCAGTTCTAGCAGCTACGTCTTCCTTGAGACTCTTTGCCTCCTCGTCCGCACGACGCCGCATTTCATTGAGCTCGGCGTTTTGCTGTTGCAGTTCAACGACACGTGCGGATGCAAGTTCAGACTCGGACGCAGCACTAGACTTTAACGCGTGTACGTCCTTTTGAAGCTCCTGGGCGATGCTGCCCAAGCGCGAGTTTTCAGCCTTTTCTTGCATTTTTGCGCGTTCCTCGGCCTCTGCTCGTTTTTGCCATAGCAAGACGGCACCTTGAGTGTCAGCTAGGGATGTTTTCACCTCCTCCAATGTTGACACCAGTGATCGATGCTCACTCTTCATACGTTCATACTCTTGCATTTCTTCCCCCCTTACTACTACGCTGCCTGCTACAGGGGCCTGAGGTTGAGCCTGACGAGCTTCGGTAAGTTGACTTTTCAAAATAGCAATTTCATCTTGAGCTGCGGCGGCGGCCACATGGGAGGACTCTCGTGCCACTTGCAACTCCCGTCGTCTCGTGGACCTTAGCTCTTCAAGATCCGCCCGTGAAGCTTCCAGTTCCCTTTCAAGTGACAACTCTGATGCTACGGCATCCTCATTCCGTCTCGCGTCTGCTAGTTGAGTCTCCAGTATCTTCTTCGTTGTTCGTACCGAATCAAGAACTGATTGACAAGATAACAACTTCGCCTCTGCTGTATCGGCCCTCGTGCGCCATTGCAGCGCTTCTGATAAGTCTGGCTGCACATTCGCTTTGAGCATGTCACGTTCTTGAATTGTTGCAGTTAGTTCTGAACATTTTGCACGTAGCTCGCTATCCAGGAGCGTTGCTTTGTGACCCAACTCCATAGTCTTCGCAACTTCGTCGTTCAATGAAGATCTAATAGCTACGTTTTGAGACCTTAGACTGGACACTTCTGCGGCAGCAGAACCGCTGGCCTCATTAAGGTTGTCTGCCGCCTGGCTGTCTTCTTCAAGCGCCGCGTAGGCATCTGAGAGAGCTGCAAAGTCCCTGTTTTTTTCCTCAACAAGAGCCTCCAATGCTTCTTTCTGTGCGAGAAGCTCTTCATTTGCTGTTTGAAGGCTGCTGTTTTTATCAAGATCATTGCCTCTCGAAGCATCATTTATGCTGACATCCAACTCCTTTTGGGTCTCTCGCAGCGCGGTCGCCAACTCCTCAATTTGCCGACGCGCCGCGTTGAGACTTTCGTCTTGTGACCGAATGAATTCCTTGTAGGAGTTGAGAACCTCATCTCTAACTGAATCAGCTAGGACTGCTTTCTGACCATGTGGTTCGTATTGCCCATTGCCCACATGACCGTTGCTCAAAAGATGTGATGCGCCGGTACCCCCTATGCCGTTTTGTAACGGAGACTGGTCCGACAGAAGGTCTAAAGCCCGGGCACCGATATTTTTGTAGACATCATTCACAACACCGACTACGTCTGCACCGTACCATCTGTCATGGCCTAGATTCCCCGCTCTGGATAAATATCCTGTGGTTTCTTCTGTTACAGTTATCTTCTCCGCAAAGGCCCATAAGGATTCTCCCGCTTTCGCTGACACGTATGCCTTGGATGCTCGCATATCGTCTAAAGAGGCCGTGAACACTGTCACGCCTATTCGGTTGCGAATGACATCAGCCACTGTCCCACGAGGGATGACCATTGACGCACCCCCGCTTCCCGAAATGAAACCACTGTCACTTGTTGCATCAGTGGCCTGCAAGCAGATTCCGAGCAACACAGCGGACAGCCCACGCGTGTGGACTTCGGCTATATCTCCACGTACTCCAGTTCCATTGAGCACATCAACAAGCATTGGTAGATGCATGGCGGACGAAAGAAAGGCAGAAACTGCGGGAGCAGATCCGTGGAGCCATGTACATGCGAGAGAAAAGAGAGCAATTCTTATCTCTGGTGAGCCGTTCTCTCTTTCCAACTTGCCCAAGACTCTGATGACTTGCGGTAGCAACGAGCTGCCATGAACATATGCCATCAGTAAGCGCTCGCGAGCGCCATCAATCCGTGCGAGTATCCACATCATGAGGGATGCAGCGTAAAACACACCAGCTGCATCCGTAACATTATGCCAATCCACGAGAGCAACTTTCAAGGACTCAGCGATGGCGGCAAGTGGATTCTTTGAAGATGCAAGGTCGTTGGAAGAGAGCTGGTTGCGGGGAAGAGCTGTGGACCGATCGGTTAGAACAAGCCCCGTGGATACGGCCGCGCTGGTCATGGCGTTGAGTAGACTGGATGAAGGCAGGTCCAAACCCGCGTCCATCACCAGCGATTCTCGAAGGGCTGCGTATGACGCAACTCTCACCGCAGACGACGAATCCCCAAACATGGCGCTAAGAGCAGCTTTCTGAGCGCACGTAGCCTCCCCCTCAGCGGCGACCGAAAAAGTGACAGACGCAAACATGGATCGAAAGTCGTCATGCCCTCTCGCAAGTAACGCCAACGTCTTCAGAGCGCCAACTCTGACGTTCAACACATGCTCTGGAAGTCGTTCATCCTGTTCCTTTGGCTGCAGTTTTGTGACTGGCGCAAACGCCAAACCGGCGAGGATGTTAAATAGGTTAGTGGTGGCCAGGTCGTTCTTGACTAATCGAGTCTCGCTGTCCGCATCCTGGGCCAGGCCTGCGATGCATTGCATGGCAATAATGAGATTCTTTCTGGCCTGCTTCTCAACGGCGATTTTCCTCCCCGACGCCGATGCGGCTATCTGCCGAGAGGTAGGCATGCTGGCATCGAGAGCGGTGCGCTGGATGAGGTTGACCAGGCGCGTGAGAGATCCTGAGTCTCGAAACATGGTGCGAGTGGTGCTCGCGCCGCGGATGAGGTTTCTCAACACGTACAAGACGTCCTGGACGACAATGGCCGCCTCCAAGTTGTCGTCATCATCATCGTCATCGTCCTCTTCCGCGGGATAAGGCTCGAGAGGGTTGCGGGTCGGGCTTTCGATGAGCGCGAAGAGCTTCTCCAGGACGCCCGCATACGCGACGATCTTTGAAATCTCAGAAGAGTCGTTACATAGCGTAGAGAGCAAAAGGACAGCGTTGGAGCGGAGCAGGCGGTGGGTATCGTCGAGAAGATCGCAGATGCGAGATACGCCCTGAGGTGCCTCGAGCAAGGCGGCCTGCAAAGTGGGGCGTGAATTGGCCGCCATAGCCGTGAGCAGCTCGATGGTGGTAAAGCGGAGATAAAAGTCGTTCTTGTCGAGCAAGGCGAGGAGGAGGGAGACGGCAGCGGGAAGGCCCAGGAACATGTCGACGTTTGTCTGGGCGGCGCGAGCGCTTGCCTGCTCGAAGGCGGTGACGAGCTGGTTCTGCGGGAGCGAGTCGCCCTGCAGCGAGTCGAGCATGGCGGCGACGAGGGCGTGCGGGTCGGTCGGCGGGTCGAGCGTGCCGCACAGGGCGAGCAGCAGGTCCAGGGCGGCCTTGACGGTGTCGTCATAGTCTGCATCCTGCTCGAGGACAGCGTACAGCGGCTTGACGACGAGCTCCGCGACGAGGGCCTGGCGCGAGGGCGAGGCGCTCGCGGCCAGCACCAGGGCGGACAGCGCGCTGCGCCGGTCCTGCGGGAGCGAGGCCGAGGTGAGGCGATCGACGAGACGGGGGATGGAGACGGTCGGGGCGGATTCACCGCCCGCGACGTAGCGAAGAGCGCCGGACAGGTAGTTCATCTCGTTGCCATGGACGGGCGGCGGGTGAGGCGGGTGGGGTGGGGGAGGGGGGGTAGGGGGATGGCGGGGGGAAGGGGGGAGGGGGGGGAGCAAGCGGGACGGTGCGAGTGCAATTTTGGGGGGGTTGTCATACACGCGGGGGGAGGGCGTGAGGGGGGGATGCGGATGATCAACGTGGCTAGCGAATGGGACAAATACGCGGCCATGAGCGGCAGTATGAAGGTCGAACGGAACGGCTCTGGGAAGTTGTATGCAGAAGTGACGGATGTGCGCACTGCGCGTCCCG